TCGTTTCAAATTAAAAAAAAAAAAAAAAAAAAAAAAAAAAAAAAAACCGACAGCAATCTTACTGTTGATAGGACTTTTTTGGTTTGTTTTTTCTTTCTTTCTCCATACCCATTCAGCTGCAGCGGCCGCATGGAGGCGCCGCCGCGCTCCAGCCTCTTGTGCGCGGAGCCCGCCTCTGTCCGGTTGTGGCCCGGATGCTCGGCCGCCAGTCGCGCGTGGGCGTGGACCAGAGCGAGTCCCAGTGACTTCAAAGACAGACGTGGTCGCGGTGACGTTGGAGCGTGCGCGGACGAAGGCGCTCCCGCCGCCGCAACTCACCATGATGAGCTTCACCCTCTGCGTCACAGGATTGGGCTTGTTGTGCTCTTCTTCGGCCAGAACGCGGGCAAAATGGCTCAGCTGCCAGATGGGACGACCCTCGTGGCTTTCCATCGACAACTGCACGCGCCAGAGGGAAAACGTCAACATCAAACAGCAAAGACCCCCGACAAGGCTTGGGGAGGAAGAAAAATGCATTGCAGAGAGTTGAGAGCTCCTGAGAAGTTGACCACCAGGGAATCAGGATTCCCCCGCACAGTGAAACTCCTCTACGACGAAACCTACATGGGCGAAAATAACCCCGAGTGTGAAAAAGTGTTCACGCACGAAAGCCATTCCCACTTTTCTGCTCCCCCTACGACAAAAAGTCCCCCTGTTCCGTTATACGAAATCTTGTTCTCTGCTCTCGCCTCGCGACGAGGTTGACTACAACGAAAACAAGCCTTCGGCAAAAATCGAATCCGACCTCGGCATGCCACGGCGGCCTCCACTGCTTCGTTCGGAAACGGCAACAGCAACCACCACACTGGTTCACACGTGCGCAGTAGTACAGGAAGTATTTGTTTCAGACGCGGCGCGAACGTTGCGTTGCTAAAATGGCGACAAAACGGACCTTCGCATACCAAGGAGTTAAGAAAAGAAAAGCTGTAACGCTTGAAGACAGGACAAAGCTCATAAAAAATGAGAGATGGAGGAAGCAAAATAAAAGACATGATGCAAGAAATTGATGTAAGTGAAAGTAAATGCCGATGCTAAATTTCTTTCCCTTTTTTTCCTTTCTACGCTGGCTATATGAAGTGGCAAGTAAGTGTATGCTCATACTTATGCACTATTGGAATAAAAATAAAAAGTACACAGACGTTTTTTGTGTGTGTTCCGTGATTAGGTCTAATTTGCTACAGTGAAAAGTCCCCTGTTGTGAAAAACTTCTTGCCGCAAACATGATTTCGTCGTAGAGGAGTTTCATTGTACAATCAAACGGTTACGTCGCTGTGCACATGGATGACAAGTTCCCAAGTGGCCGGAAAATATTGAAAGGAAAATTATCATCATTTTCGAAGCGCAAAAACAGAAGACAAAGAGTCATAACATTACAGGAACAAATAGTCTTAACGGGCGGCACGTGAGGAAGAACGATCGAAGAAAAAAAAAAAAAAAATCTGCCTAAACTCCGGAGTTTATTTTATGAAAGCGAAAAAAATATCTTTGACACCTATCGAAGCTGTGAAATTGGATTTCCCACGCTTCCACTGAAATTGCAATTTGGATCAGATCTGGATCCGAGCAGGTTTCAGAGCAGACGCACACGGAGGACGCGGGCCGGATGCGACACGGATGGAAGTGAACCTTCTATTCACTTTCCAAAAAGCACCGGGAACCATTGGGAGAACAACGTCTGGCGGTTTCAAAAAAAGCTCGCCGGTGTTTTTACTTGCACTCTCCGACAAGGGTGCCCTCGGGCATTTCACCAAATCAAACGGACGAGGCTTCGACGTTCTTGAACGTATCGATGAAATGCAAGACGTTTGACTACCTTTTAACAAAGCGATATTTCGTTCAAGTTGATCAAAGTGACTGTTAACTGTGCACACATGCACTTTTGACCTTTGTTAAATTACAGGCTTCCTATTTTTTTGTCTTCTTTGGGGGGGGGGGGGGAAACCTGCCCCCATTTGTGCCAGGAAGATGCCTGCAAATTGTAACGGGAACAACCTCGAAGCATCCAAACTCCGTCGCCGCAAATGCTCTCTCCTTACTGCGACTCAGACATCCCGGTTGCCATTTTCAGCCACCTCACCTCAAGAACCAGCGAGACGCAAGCGGGGAAGAAGGTCATGAAGACAAAGTAGTTGGCCAGCACCGACATGCAGCCGAAACAGCACATGATCTCCAGCTGCGGCACACCTGGACGACATCCATTCAAGTCGGTGATCTTGAGCGCGTATCATCGCCGGCGGCGGCGGGTCCTACCTGACATGGTGCCGATCCCGATGACCAGACACTCCACCAGAGCATCCAGCGTGAAGGTGGGGCCCAAGATGGCCATGCCCTGGGAGATGTTCTCCCTCACCTCCTCCTAAGGTTACGCACGCACACGCACACGATAAGCCCACCGGCGTTCAGGCTCCCTGCGTGAAGAGGACGCGCGTCGCACTAGGCGCATTCACCTGAGAGTTGCTGCTGAGGGCAAACTTGGCCAGCGTGCAGGCTTTGGACAGGTCGATGAGGAGGAGGAAGAAAGGGAGCGCTTCGCTGGGGGAGCGAGAGGACCGTGTTGGAACCACATTGCCTCCGAGGGATTCGGGGAGGGTTTCCCCGCTTGACTTTGAGCGGTCATAGGTCGCGTTCATGTTTCAAAAAGTTTTGAAACACACACAATCTATCCATCTATGGTATTGCAACGGGTGTGTCAACCTTTTATGTACAAAAAAACGACCGGTACAGTATTTATTATGATTTTTTTTGGGGGGGGGGGGGGGTTCTAAAACATAAAAAATGACTAACTTTGGGAATTTTCCAAATTAGGGCCTGACCTGAAGTAAAGTTAACTGCAGGCACACATCCAAAAATGTGAATATCATGAAAGTTGATTTAGTTCCGTGACACGATTCAAAAAGTGAAACTTGTGTCATCCATACATTCATGGATGGGAGGATGAGCACCTGCATGACCAATGGGGACGACTTACTTGAGACCGGTCAGCTCTCTGCCGAAGAAGTGGATGACGACCGAGCTGAAAACAAAACTGGAGAATAATGTAAATAAGCCGGCAATACCTACCCTCCCCACAAAAAAAAGAAGACAAAAAAAAAAAAGAGTCAGTGAGCTTGAATGGCAGTCCAAACGTCTTCAGAGATGCAAAGGATACCGACCCAGAATGTACTTGGAGCCCAGCTGTCGCAGGTTCCGAAACTGGAAGTAGATGTAAATGAGAGCCGCGCAGCGCGTCACGGTCAGGATGACGGCGTCGCTGCTGCGGCTCGGCTAAAAAGGGGAACGCGCACAATCAGGTTTCGGCCGCTCCCAAACAAAGCCGAGGCCTGAAGAGCGAGCGTCGCCAAAAGCTTCACCTCACGCTCCACTTTGGGACAGTGGTTCCGGCCGCACACGTGGCTGCTGGCGGCCAGGCCGTTCATGGACATGAGGCAGACGGTGAGCGCCAGGGTGCCGACGATCACCTCCCACGGGTGGGCGGCCACCAGCAGGCCGTGGAGGCGGAACAGCCTCGCCAACATGCTCTATGGAAAGACAAACGTCTTGCACTCGGCGGTCGACGGCGAGAGGGAGTCTGCGAGAGTCTGCGAGAGTCCGCTCGCCGATTCAGCCAACGGCGGGCTTTTCTTGAACCTATCCTCTCCTATTTACCGAAAAAGCAAAGTGTCGCTTTGGGGCCGCGAGAACTTAATTGACCAACAAAGTCATGTTTCGCCGCATCTTGTTGCCAAGAAACTACGATGAGGTCAACTGAGCATCTTTATTTTGGACGAAAATTATTGCTTCACCACATCTTGGTCCCAAGGAGCTACGTTGAAGCAAGTTGAGGAGCTTCATTTTGACATCAGTCGTGCTTTGCCATCATCTTGTGGCAACTACTGCAGGTGCCAAGAAACTGTGGTGAATCGACTTAACGGTATTGAGCAAATTACAACACAATACAAAGGGGAGTGTTTCCCCGCGATCTTCCGAAACCTCGGTGCAAGGGAACCGTGAAAATCGTGCTTTTGGATTTTGTACGTTTTTACTCAGCAACCCATTCCCTTCAAGTGAAGTGGCATACTTGTAGTGTTCACACGTAACTGCTGTCCTCAAAATAAGTGTGGCTAGCCACTACTATGGTGAAGTTACAACAGAGGCGAGGTCACGTTCGACGGACAGCTAACACGTCGATTTCCTCTACGTTTCTACACCTAAACACAATTTTAGACAGAATGCCATCCAGTTTGTGGCGTCAACATGAATACACTGCGACAACGCTAACGCTAACGATAAGCTAGCGCCCTGGTGTTAGCATTAGCCGTCCGCCACGCCTACATTTATTACGTCGTACTCGCCGAAAAAAATGTTGTTTGATCGGTACGCGGGGACAACGATCTCTCGAAATAAGCCGGTTAAAAACATACGCACTTGCGGTCACGTTTTCTGGTGCTCAGTGAGTTGTTTCCATGATAACGATCCAACGTCCCGTCCGCGTCGGTGTCGGTTCGCTGTCTTCGTCAGTATGAGGAGCCGGAGCTGATACTGTAACCCGGAAGTGAATACGCAACCAAGCATACGTCACTTGCTGCGCGGATTAAAAAGGGGTGGAGCCAACGTCGTCACTTTAAAACAAAGACATGTAAGAGAAACCTAATTACGACAACTGTAGACACCGCCTAAACTAAACGGTCTGTTTGAACACCTCAACCAAAACTGAGGAAAGCGTCCACATATATTCTATATGATCAATTGTAACGTTCCTCGACCTCAGGCGTGCCACCCCGCGTGCCCACTGGATGTTGCTGTTTCTCCACTCATTGGGCGGATTACAAGCGGACAGAAAAGCCATGAAAAGGATCAAACAAAATCTCATCAATTGACGTGCAGCACATGCGTGCACCTTACCAAAACCACCACTAATATAAGTCCTACGTGCAGAGTGGAAATATTGCGCCGAAATCAAAGCGATGAAGTGAAAGTGAGGTTTATGAATTGGAATTGTTCAGAGGTTTTTTTTTTTTGAGCAATCCGAATTGGATTATTTTTAAGAATTTACCATATTAAAAAAACGGAATGACGAGAAACCAAAAAAATGACTGGCTGAAAAATACTGACAAATTGGGAGGGGGGGGGTGCATTCATTTGGGGAGATTTTAATCTTGGCAATGAGTAAGGTTAAATCGGAGGTTGAGAAAACGAAGACTCCATTTCAGAAGGTGAGGGTAATCCACCAAAAATTGTTGGCCAACCGCCAAAAGATAACCGATTAAGACCACGTCAACTCGCAGGACTGCAGGCGACTTGTTTTGGTTTCAACCCTTCGCCTATCTCTGGAAAATTCGCGCGCGCGCGCACACACACACACACACACACACACACACACACACCGCAACACTGCCAAAGAGAGCGGAGCAATACTCACAGGCACGTATTCTTGGAAATGATTTTGGTGGTTTCGGCAAAAAGAAGTTTGTTGACAAGTCCAAGTCTTGTTGTCGTTGTCCTCTGACGCGCACATGTCCCCTTCGTCCCTCAGCCCGACCTCCGGCGGCCGTCCTCTTTGGACTCCACCTCGAAGAGGAGTTGGCCGTCTGGCCGATGACCACGACTGCGGCCGGCCCGCCGCTCTGCGTTGACGCGCCTCAGATCAACTTTCACTCGCGTCACCTCGACTGATACTCTGCCGAGTGGTGGAAACAACTAAACGCGGTCCGCGCCACGTTGTCAATTCCGCTTGGAGGCGTTCGCGAAGCAGGCGGTCCGAGGTTGATAACGGCCTTGACGTCGATGCTCATTTCTATTCGCGCACGGATGGCGTTTCCTATACCGCGTTAGCGTTGAGCCGGCAGACTTTGGTTCGGCCAAATCACAAGGTTTGGTTGAACACGATGCCGTTTAAATACACAATGTTTTCCTTAGCCCACCCGACGACGTTTTGGATTCAATCTCGGCATTAAATGAGCGGCCTTTCGTGAGACAAAACGATGGGCTTTGCTTGAACATGCAGTGTGAACCGCCGCGTTCGACATTTACAATGTGCAAAAAAAAAATGGCTTGGATTCATCAAACTGTTTTCCCCCTAAAAGTGGTTACATCAAAGGTATTTATTGCACTCATCAAAAGAAATGATTTATGGTTGATCAAATACACAATATGATGAAAAGCTCTTTTCCATCTACACTGGACCCCCTGCATGAATTCACCTATTTGCGATTTTTTTGGGAGGGGGAGAACCATCCCCTTTGATGAGCATTTCTGTTTACCTGATACTCCTTATTGAGTTTTTTTTTTTTTTTTGGTAATGAATGGAATGTGTGTGTGTGTGTGTGTGTGCGTTTGTGTGTGGACAAGCATGAGACTGTTAACGAATAAAGCCTGGCTCATTGGCTAATATGATTCGCCTCCATTGCTTGCCAAGGCAGTAAACAGAGTTGGAGGGAAGGAAAACATGTATGTGTGTTCACGTGTGTGTGTGTGTGTGTGTGTGTGTGTGTGTGTGTTGGGGGAGGAACAGAATGGAGGGTGCAGTGATTTATAACATCAACTCTTGCTTGCGCCTTCTCTCCCGTAGCAGGGCCACAAACACATCCATTACAAAAGTACTGATGGTAATGGCAATTGTGTGTGTGTGTGTGTATGTGTATGGGGGGGGGGCACTAGAGTGAGGGCACACCTTTGTGTGTGAGTGTGCACTGCCGTGATAATCACACACTGCTGGCTGAATGGGAGCTGAAGGTTACTGAGGGTCTTTCCCATAGAAGTGTGTGAGTGCATGTGTGTGTTTTTAGACTCAAGAGATTCAGGTGAAGCTCCAACCCAACCCCCCAACCCCCTCCCCGCTTCATTTAGCAGTCATTCATGTTTGTTTACACTGGGCAGGGACGAGTGAGTCACTTTGGAGCGTCGGGATGCAAGCATCGAGTCATCAAACTGTGCAGCCATATTCAACCAAAACGGAATAACGACAATGTTCTCTCTCTCTTGCTCTCTCTCTCTCTGTATATACATATATATATAGAGTATATATGTATATATATATATATATATACATATGTATGTATGTGTGTGTGTGTGTGTGTAATCCTGTCAGTGTTTGAAGGAGCACTAAATATTGCCAAAATGACCATAAAATTGTTGCTTCAAATCAAAATTGTTGCCTTCTTGTGTCCATCGGGCACGGTGTCTTGCGATTTTATTTTGTGAGTCTACTCGTGGTAGATTTGCCTTTCAAATTTCATGCTGCTAGGTTAAAAAAATGTAAAACAAACCAAAAAAAATCAACCAAAAAGCTTGAGATCAATTTGACTTTTGAAAGGAAATGGTCAAAGTGAGCAAAAAACAGCCACTTCAAAGCAAATTTGCGATCGACCGTGCCTTCTCAGTCATGGATCATTTGAGTTTTTCTTGGGTTTACTTTTGGCCGACATAGCTACCAAATTTCACGGTTATACATGAAACTGGATTTGAGGGTGGATTTCAAGAAACAAAAACAACAACAACAACTCAAGAAAAGTTCACTTTTAGTCGAAAGGGCTCAAAATAACCCTAAAATAACTTTCAAATGAAAACGCTAGACTTCCAGTGTCTTTTACGGTCTGGCTTCTCCAAGCATGTTTTGCGGGTCTACTGATGACAGACATGACGACAAAATTGACCAAAATGGCCTTTTCATAGCACAATGGCATACTTCATGTCTTATTTCGAGTATATGGCCTTTTGAGACTTTTTTTTTTTTTTTTGTGGCTTCACTCATGACAGACGTGCCTCCCAAATTTCATCACGTTGCTAAGTGAAACTTGGGGGTGCCGAACCCCCAAAAAAAGAAATAAAAAAAAATCATCCGATGGGACACAGTGTGATGGTCTGCATCCTGACCGCGTATTTCTCGTTTATTCTGACTTTCTGGGAAGCGGCAGTGATCCAATTTGGTGGGGGAAGCGGGGGCAAGACCTCTTGAAAGAAGCGTCTGGAGAAGGGACGGCTGGATGCTGAAGATTACGTCGGCCTTCTCCGCGCGTGCGCGTGCGCGTGCGCGTGTCTCTCCTCTCACATTAGGCTTTACATGAAAGGCAGTCAGGTGGAAAATGAGTGCGGACCTAAGCCGTGCCGTCCACCCACCTGGCCCACAGTGAGGGGATGAGGAGGGCGCGGAGAAAATGAAGAGGAAGGGACGCTGCATGGGGGGGGTTGGGGAACTGAAGAAAATGCACCGACTTTTTTTTTCTTACTATTCCCATCACTGCAGATAAAAAAAAAAAAATTAAAAATGAAATCCATAAATACGTCTCTGGCATGGAGGATCTAATGAGGTGGACGATCATCTTTCAAATACACGTGATGGAATTAAATTGGGAGATTCATAATTCAAATCCTATGAGTGTAAATATTTCATGAATATGAATTCATATTGTCTTCCTCCTGACAAAAAAAAAATCTTAAATTTCACGTTTGCTTTCAAGACTTTTTAACAAATATGAATGCAGTTCACTGGAGACAAAACTTGTCGTCGTTGTTGGCTTAGGTCAGCAAAATACAGATGCTATTTTTTTGAACAAGAAGATTGACAGAAGTTTCTTTGACGAGTCAAAATGGTCTTATCGTCGGTGTTGGGTTAGCTAGAGCAAAACAAGTGTTAGTTTAGTTCACGAGTCTGAAATTTTTACTGGTTGACTGACGGGATTCATTCATGTTTAAAAAAATTGGATTCGTCTTGGATTGTTTTTTTTTTTTTTTGCGTTAAGAAAAGAAATGGTTTTGATGTTTAAATACCCCACATTCGATTCACTGAAGACAAAAGTGGCAAACTAATACCAACACTAATTGAAGTCATTGATCATGTTTTTGTATGTGGACGTTGCTCCCTGATATGTTCAAGTCTTTCCTACTTTAGAACCTGTTGAAGGTGTCTTCCAAGATAAAAAAAAAAGCGACCGTCCAGCTAACTAAAGACTTGACTTTTCCCTGATAAGGCAGCACGCATTCAGTTGAGTTTCGCCAACGCCAAGGATGCTTTCAATCTGTCTTTTAAATCAAAAATCGAAAAAAAAAATGTTAAAAACCTTCAAGTTGGAAGAGACAGGTTTTATTACCAGCGCTATTTACATAGAAATAAGACAAGCCGTCCAACGTGCACGCGCACACGCGCACACCGCACAGCCATCCACCCGCTCATGGAGACGTCCAAGGAGATTGGAGTCCACCAGCAAAGAAAAGAAAAGAGTTGACCGTGTCGGGAGGAATGAACTGGGAAATGCTCACTGGAGCCGAGAGGCGGGCGGCGCACACTAGGTGGCGCTTGAGGCCCGACGATGGGGGAGGGGGGCGGGGTCACGGCGCAGTCGAGGAGGTACGGAGGGGGTGCGGTGTGCGGTCCACCACAGATGTTGCGTGGCCCCTCTTTTGTCGGCCCCCTTTAAGAGGCGGGAGACCTCAGCTGTTGAAGGAGATTCTCTATTATGGCTTCAGTGTGCTTTTGAAAATCATTTCCATTAAAACATGTCTTGTGAAAAAGGGAGCCGAACAAAGGGAAGGTCGGCCGCAGGCGGCCGCGACAATCAGGGCCGCCCGAGTGTGCGTGCGCGCGCGTGCGTGCGTGTGGGAATAAAGGCGGAGACGCTCTTGTTTTAACATCTGATCATCGTGTCGTGGTAGAAAGGTGCAGGCGCACGTCATCCGCTTCCTTCAAATGATCCGCCGCGCACGTTTCCTCCGTTCGCCACCATTTCACGCCATTGCTCCAAAAATGTGCATTTCCTCGCGAGAACGTCACCCAAAGCGGGTGAACCGGCAGTCCCAACGCCGAGCGTCGCAAAGGGTGCGGGCCCTTGGCGGCTTCTTTAGGGCCGGCGCGTTGGGTCAAAGTGACCCAAACCCAAATCGCGTTGACCCGGGATTTCAGCCCTCGGCCCTGTGTCCAAAAGCACCAACAATATTTTGTCCGTCCAATTTCAAGCCGCGATAAAACGGTCCAAAACGGCGCCCAAATCCAAATTTCAACCCACCCGATTTGTTGCTGGGCCCGGATAATGAAGCCGCCCTTCGATAACGGGAAGCCCATCCGCTCCAAATCCAAGCGCTGCGAGAAAGAGCTCGGCCTCTTTGGCCGTGCATTTGCCCCAAACAGCAGTGCGTCTTTGCAATCCGTATGCGGTGGCAGGCAGAAGACGAGCTGGCGCAAGGTGCAAAATTTACTCGAGTGTCCGTCTTGATGGAAGTATGCTAATTGCCCTGCGCGTTCGCCCTTTCATATTCACAAATGTGAGTTTGGTTTCACCGTCTGAGCATTTTGGTTTCAAAATCAAATCCCCCAAAAGTCATTTTCCACCGGTGAGCACGTCGGGCTCACAGGAGGCGGGGTTGGATTTGTGTGGAGTTGGCACGCCCCCCCCCCCCCGGGTGCCCGGCTTTCCTCCCGCACTCGGAAAACGTGACCGCAAAGTGGATCCATCGCTCCAAATCGGGGCGAGGGAACTCGGGTTCCTCGAGAGCCGTCTCCTGCCACTGTTCCATCCTTCCCTACACCAACGCACCCGATTCAAACCATCAGCGGATCAGCGAGCTCCGGAGAAGCCCGAGACGATCGCGATCAATTCAATCGGCTGCGTTGGATTAGGGAGAGCTCGAAAACAGGCAGGGCGCGGCTCTCGGGGAAGCCGAGCTCCCTCCCCCTGCTCTAAATGCTCCCGAGGTGTGATTGGGAGCGTCTGCGTGTGCCCCGCGATCGCCTGGCAACCGGTTGAGGGTGCGCCCCGCCTCCTGCCCCAAGTTGGGCCGGGATAGGCGACCCTCCTGAGAAAAGCGGCGCGCGTCGTGGCTGCGTGATGAAACGAATGATGTGAAAAGGTTCGGGGATACTCGTCTGTCCTAGATTTAGGCTTGAAAGCACAGGTGGCGATCTCAAGGCCGGGGCTGGGGGGAACGCTGGTTAAGGTATGGGATGCGGGACAGGGAGGAGAGAGTGGCAGTCGGTCCGCCCTCATCCTAGGCGGGGTGCGCGTTGCGTTGAAACAAAGCACGCTCAACGTGCGTCGAAAGCAACGTTGAGGTCTCGCGGCCTCAAAGCGCGCCGGCGGCAGCGGCCGCGCCGGCGAAGGCATCCCGGCCGGCCCTACCGTCGTGACGCACGCCTCCGAGGCTCCAAATTAGCGGCTACGCGGTGGGAACGCGGCTACAAAGGGCTGACAAGTTTGGCTTTCGGATGCAAGAAATGAACTCGACGGAAAGGAAAGTCCCTTTCGGGTTGCTTTTGACAGGACGCAATCGGTTCAAAGCCTTCGTTGCCAATGGCCGGAGTCCGGCATTCCGGGAAAGCCGGCGGAGGACGCGCCCCCGCAGCGTGGGCGGGAAGCCGGTCTCGGCCGCCCGTCCAGGGCTTCACCAGGCCCCGGCCTCGCCCATCTCGGGGCCTTGGTGGGACATGGGGGCGCTGTAGCTGGAGTTACTGGCCAGGGAGAAAGGAGGGCTGGGCCCGCCCCCGTACGCCTCCCCCGCCGCCGCCGGCTGCAGGGAGCCCGGCTCGGGACTGGGCGTCTCGGCGTGGGAGATCATGTCCGTGAACCTTTGGTCGTCCGAGGGGAGGTGGCCCGAGCCCTCCAGGGCCCCGGGCCCCGAGCCCAGGATGTAGGGGGAGTCGGCGGGCGACTGGGCCTGCGACGACGGGGGACCGTGCGGGAAGAAGTCGTAGTTGCCGCCCGCTCCGTAGTAGTCGCCTTGGTACTCTGCGGGACAAAAGCACAAGGCGTTACGGCCACGTCGCTCGCTCGCTCGCTCACTCGCGGTCACGTCAAGGACATTGCCGAGGATGCCGTCGCCGCTGACGTTACGGGTCCGGAGAACGTCGGCCACTACGTTCCTTTCGAGGCCATCGAGTGACGATGATGTCACAGATGTTCTCCGCGACATCAAAGACACCGCGGATGCCGTTGCTGACGATGTTGCGCTCAAGACACGTCCATGACGGGGTTTTTTTTCATGACGCGTGATCGTCAACGATGCGTTCTCGGGATGAATACATCGGCGACGACAGCAAAGACCCACTCAGTGACATCACTGAGCGCCACGTGGTCAGCGATGCCGTCAGACATCGGTCGTCAAGAACCTCAAAAAGATGGCGTCGGCGTCGAGCGCGTTGTCATCAATGAGCGTCGTCTTCTTCCCGACTCGGTCCATCCCATCCCATCCCATCCATCCGCGATCTCTCCTTCCGGTCCTTGTCTCGTCAACGGCGTGCCATCCATCTGTCTTGCGTTCATCCTTTGTCGTTGGAAGCACGAGCCCAGCTGCTGACTCTTGTATTCTTCTCGTTTCGCCCAACCGTCCGTCCGTCCGTCCGCCCATTCCGCCTCTCCGGCCGCTCGCGTGTTTCCTCGGTTGGTGCGGACGCAAACACTCGACACCGTGTATTCCTAGCGCAGATGTCTCCGCGTGAACAAAGCGCACGCAAACAGCCTCAGGCTCCACCTCTGCCCAACTTTTTGCAGGGGTAATATGATGATGAATTGTTCTTCATTTTCACACCGCAACAGTTGACTGCGAAGCTGTGTTGAATGGAAATCAAGGAGCCACCTTGAGAAGAGGCAAAGAGCTTGCGTTGCAGGCAGTGTGCGGGTTGGGGGCGTCGCGTGCACACCCGCACCCACACCCACACCCGCACCCGCAAACAAACGCACGCACGCAGACCCACGCGACGAGCGAGCCGGCCGGCCTCAGCGGCGCCTCAAAGGGGCCGCCTGAAAAGCGGCGGCGGTGGCGGCGGCGGGTGAAGAAAAGGAGGGAGCCGACAGCGGAAGATGACGGCTTTGTCCTCACCCTGCACGGACACTCCTTCAAGACTTGAAATTGTCTTCAATGTTCACAACAACGACAACACCACCTACATGGGGTTCACTGGGGACGAAAACCTGTCTTTGATGTTTCTAAACACACACGTGCGTGAAATTGGTCGCAGACAAAATTGTCTTTGCTGCTGACAAAAAGACGGACGTTCGGGTCACTCCAATTCCGCTGTCTTCCATTGACAAAAGCACGTATGGTCTTTGACGCTGAGCAAAACATGAGCGCCGAGGACCAAACCGAATTTGCAAAAGGCAGCGTCATTTCATCAAAGACGGGCTTGTTGTTGATGTTTCCAAAAAAAAAAAATGTCCATTTCTTTCAAGGTCAGTGCGGTCTTTGAAGTTGAGACAAATGTCCAGTTTGTTTGAGAGGACGCTCCATGGGAGGAGGAACGGAAACAAAACGAAAGCCCTCATCCGTTAGCTTGAGGAGAAGGAAATCATTTCTGGGACCTGGACGAAAACGTGACATTCGTCAGACGAAATGTTTTGAAGCGCGTGCGTATGCGTCTGCGCGCTGGAAGCGGCAGGCTGAAGAAGAGTTTCTTCCAGCGGGCGGTCAGGAGACTCACCTCCCCCCGAATGGACGTGGACAGCGCCTCGAAGAAAAGACGGACTCGTCTTTCATGTGGGCAAAGATGGGATGCGAAGCCAGCGCTCCGGTTCCTGCCCCCGACCGAGACCCCAAGACTGGCCTCCCCCGCCTTCCCGTCAGAAAAAGCGCCCGCCGTTCCATCTGAGCGAGCGGCGTCAAAAGCCTTTTCTGCCCGATTTGTTGACAAAGAGACGGCGCGCCATAAACAGGTTCATCCTCTCGGTCGTGGTAGGAGACCGCGACACAACACTAAAGAGGGCTTGGGTTTTCTGGGGGGCGTTTTTTGGTGCGGCGGCACGGCGCCTCCGGAGCGGGGGGGCCCTTGCGCCTGGACATCGGCTTCCGCGTTGTCGGTCGCTAAGAGTTCGGGGGTTTTGACGGCGAGTGGTACTGACCGCCATAGTAGCCGAAGGCGGCCGGTCCCAAGATGTCCGGGTCCTCCAGCCGGCCCCCCAGGGTCCTCATCCTCCTCGGGCCCCGAAAGAAGGCGTGTCTGCGGGCCCCCAAAGCGCTGAGCTGCTTCATCCGCCGCTCCTTGGATCTTCGGTTCTGGAACCACACCTGCCACAGAGTCGCGGTCATCGCCACGACGAAGACCCGCTTGTCGGCGACGCTTACGCCAAACGCACGCCGGGCTCGGCGAAAGGCGCGACGCCGCCGGCGGTGTTCGCGAAAGCCCGAAGGCGCCAAGCGAGAGGTTCGCCCGAGAGCAAAGCGTCTTCGACGTCAAGGCGGAAGCGGACCTTTCCCCGTTGACGCAAACCTCGGGTTCTCCGCAGGCGCCGTTCGAGACGCGACCGACGCGGCTTCGCCGACGAGCCATTTTAGGTGACGTTTCGATTCCGACATCGTACAGGTTCACGCGAGCGAGAAAGGACGCGTTGCGCAACGTGTCGGCCGTTGAAGCGTTTCCTACGAGATCCCGTCGGGATGAAGATCGAGATTCTTTGCGATTCCGCGGCGGACGATTGTCGCCGTGCCGTGTGTGGTTCGAACGTGAGATCTAAATTTGGCAAATCATCGGCTCAAACGGAGCTCGGATGGCCAAGGAAGGAAGCGCCCTCTCGTCTGGAGGGGATTCCTTGCCAACGCGTCACGTGTCCTCCCGGAATCCGATAGATTTCAAAGTAAAAACGCGCTTGAAACCAAGTCGAACGCGTCGCCCTTCTTTGCTTCCTCGCGGACAATCCGAGCGGCAAACGGCGTCTTGCTTTGGGCGGCGCTGCGGAATCACGCGGGGTCGCAGCGGCGGAGGGCCACGCACGGAGGCGACACCTGCTAACTGAGAACAATCGTGGAGGTGTTGTTGGGAACATTTGGATGGAAATGCTCTCGCTCCCCTCCAGAGACGCAGATTACGCTCTCGTGCGCACGCCGGGGAGGCGTTGCTATTCAACACCAGCAGCTAGACACCCAAACGCAGCCCCCGTTTTGGCTCGGGTCAGCCTACACGCGCACGCGCACACACAGAGGCCGTGTTGGGGAGGGAGGGATGGCTGGCTGGCTGGCTGGCTGGGAGAACACGCTGATGGATGTGCGAGCAAGGATGGATGGAGGGAGGGGGGGAGATGCACTCGTGCACAGCCGATGTGCGTGTGTGTGTGTGAGACAAGTGTCTCTCACACACACACACACACACACACACGGAACAGAGGTGGACGAATGACCGGATCAATGTTTTTCCTTCCAATCCAACAAGTGAATGATTTGGATGCGCAATAACCTCAAAGATTTTGCGCCGCCAACTTCACGTGAGGAGGGAAACTTCACAATGACACTTTCCGACGACAAGAAACAGCCTGAAACGGTTTTCCTTGCCCGTCAAACGTCAAAAGGTGTCCTGCTCCTCAAAATGGGAATACGGGCTTCCTGCCTATGACATTGACTCTATTCGATATACATCACAATTTCCAAGATGGGGAAGACAACCAAAGATTTTCGAGGTACGAACGTGACGATGACGTCACCTCAAGAAAAAGTGTTCACAGATGATATTTTTTAATTGTGAAAAATGTCTTTTTTTCCCTCTAGAGTCCAGGAACGAGTTCTCGCGAGTCATATTTCTCTCTCTCTGCCCCCCCAAAACACACACACACACACACACACACACACACACACACACACACATGTGTGAGACAAGTGTCTCTCACACACACACACACACACACACACGGCACAGAGGTGGGAAAAAAGAGAGGGTGGGGGCCATATGTAAATGTGTGAAATCAGCGCTAATCACAGCCAGCGCACAAAAAGCCACATCACACTTGGCAGCGATGGCGCTAATCATCCCGACGTCGTGCAAGCCCAGACACGCGCGCTCGCCCGAGTGGATGCTCGTGTGTGCGTGAAAACGCGCGCGCGCGCGCAGGCAGGAAGGGTTCCAGCCTGCGCGCGTGGCCCTCAGCTAAAACAAGACCACCACCTACGACTAATTTCACGGCTGTGTGACTGAAACAAACACGCGGAAAAAAACAAAAATCACACGTATCGCGTCGCCATTGTGTGTGTTTTTGTCTAGCCTGGTGTGTCGATGTTAATTGGGGGGGGGGGGGGAAGAAAAAAAAAACAAGCCGACGACGAAAATGGGAAGCCTGCGGGCACGGAGATGGAGGAAGGAAGGAAGGAACAAGCAAATAAATGCGCTCCGGCAAAGGTCAAAAATCTGGAGAGGCAAACAAAAGTATTGGGACGCCGCGATTGACGACGTCGTTGAGTAGCGGCGTCAAGTGCGCCGGCATGATCGGAAAGCCCGCCGAGAAGAATTCCCGCACGGGAATCCGATTGTCTTTTGCGCAATTCGCCGACCTCAAGCGGGCCCACGGGGACATTTTGCGCTCTCCTTTCAAATCAATTCTTGCGGAGCATTTTTTTTTCCAAATCAGCCCGAAATGTCAACGCCGTACAAAAGCGACGCTTTTCACCTTCGACCAAAAAAAAAAAGAAGAAGAAGAAATAAGACACTTGGCTTTAATTCCAACGCTCGGGGCGTCAAAGTGGCAATTTTCGTTTTGTATTCGTACGGCAGGATGGCGTCACTTTTTTTTTTTCGTGCTCAAAGCGTGCATCAACATTCCAGGAGTAGAAACGTCAATATCGATCACGTTCACGGGCTTTTCAACCTTTTATGACTGAACATTTTGATTTGAATTTTTTTTTTTTTTCATGACAGTGCGACGTTCAAAGAGAAAATGATTCCTTCAAAGCATGCGGCCAAATGTCACACTTTCCATCATTTTCTGCAAGGTGGGCTTCTGTTCGAAAAACAAAAACGTGCAGGCGCATCACCACTTCGGCCTGAAACATCGACGTGAATGATGACGTTTTGGAAGATTTGAACCCCACGCGGGGGGAGAGAAAAATCCTGGGTCTCGTTTCAAAGGACGCAGCGACGCGCTCACCCTTTACCGCAAGCGGCCTCAGCGCTCAAACGGACGAGCGTGCACGTCGAGCGTCGATCACGTTTGGGAGAATGTCCGCCTTTTGAAAACACGGCGGTGAGGAAAGCGCGCAGAAAAATGTAAACCGGTCAATGGAAAAAGAGTGCGCCTTCCACAGTCAGACTGCAAAAAAATTTATAATAATAATAATAATAATAATAATCCGGTGGAGGAAGGGACTGGAGCAAACGGCGAATCATGAAAATCTGCGCAGAATGGATGCACATTCGAAATATACTGTATTGGAGAGAAAAAAATACTCCCCCCGCCAAACACACACAATTTGAGCGAAAATAAATGTAAAAAAAAAAAACCCCACACACCGAAATCGGCAAATCCACGGGCGCCAGATGACAAGTATTCGGCTTCCGGTATTCTTTCCCGACTTGTTGGAGTCAAGGTCTCGAAAGCAAAGCGTCTTGAGAAACGACCCCGACTGAACAAAAACCGGAACGGATGTGCGGACGAGTGCGCGCGTCAAATGCCAATCCCATTTTGTGCTTGAAGGAGTTCGGAGGGCAGGCGAAAAGCCCGACGGACGACGCCAAGAGATCGCGCAAGATTTCAAGCGGACGCCAAGGGGCGAAACGAAGCCGACGACTTTTGGCACGAAAAGTTCGGATCCGCTCGTTACCTGGATGACGCGCATGTTGAGGCCGGTCTCCTGCGCCAGCTGCTCCCGGATGTGACGCGTGGGCTTGGGCGTGGCCACGAAAGCGGCCTTGAGGGTCTCCAGCTGCTTGGCCTTGATGGTGGTGCGCGGGCCGCGCCGCTTGGCGCCCGAGTTCTGCTCCTCGTTCTCGATGTTGTTGCCCTCCTTGTCCGACGACGTGCAGTTGTCCGCCTCCTTCAGCTCGTCGTGCAGGCCGCCGCCGTCCTGCGCGTCCGGCGACAGGCTCCGGTCCGTGCACGACGACACTGCGGACGGCGGTCGTCGCGCGTCAAAACAAGAACGAACGCGACGTTCCTTCCCTTTTCAGAACGGCCCCCCCTCCCGGCCTCCCGGAAATAAACGGCAACTGCGCATCGCTCGGACGATTTGGGGGATCGTAATAAGAATTCGTTTGATTTAAAAGCGCCTTTCATGCCACCCAAGGACACTGTACACACAATGAGGAAATACAATATAAAAAAAAAGATTCTATAAAAACAGGACATAAAATGGCAAAACGTGGGAAATGGAAGAATGAAGTGTTGTGGGCAGTCCTGAACAGGTGTGTTTTGAAAAGTCCAATTTTGGAGGTCCGGGGGTAGCTTTGGAGCAGCGCGAGCGACTGAAGGCTCTGGCTCCATGTGTGGGATGTGTTGCGGCTGCCAATATTGACCAGAGGAGGACCCCCCCCCCCCGTGGACCCTGACGCGTAATGACAAGAACAATAGAGTCCTTGGACGTGGAAAACACAAACGTGGCATTGGTTGAGCAGAAATAAAGGTGTTCGACAAATATTAGAGAGAAATTAGATACACACACACATATAT